GGATCTCCGTCCCTAGCTCTTTTGTCTCTCTTTTTATCTTTTATATTTTGTCCTACCTCCTTTCGAAGACAATGGGCTGCTTTTCTGGGCGCCTGATGTCCTCTGCTAGCGATCAGAAGTTGTTTTGTGAAGTTTGCTCAGCGTTCAATTGTTCTTTCTATGAATTTGTAGGGGAGAAATGGTCTCCCCGTCCTATTCCTCCGCCATCTTGGCTCCTCCGTCAAGCCTTTTCTTTATACGTAATTACATCCTGAGGTATTGAGGATTGGGACTCAACACATAAATCTGTGGGGGAAGCAGGGAGACACAGTTCAGACCATAACAGAACATTTTGTGGCTTTCAGAAATCAGAGACTATTTTGGGTTGCTTTTCATTGTAGTTATGAAAACCGTTTATCTTAGAGAATATTCAAGTTGGATCCGAGTAGCATAGTGATAGTTGGCAACCGAGTGGTCTTTTATTGACCTTTCTTGTTCTCTTCCAGAGAAGTGATTCTCGATCTTTTTCAGGGGTGGTGGACAGCTTTCAGAATCTGATGGAAGCTATTCTGTCAGCTAACTTTGACTAACAATGTCAAAACTTAGTGGATGGACACAATAACCTTTTCCCCTCTTCTTGTGGTATATACTGTGCACTGTACAGGGTCAGAAACAGTCAGACACAACTTGGCAACTGAGCAACAGCAACAGACTGCATGCTGGCAACCTGGGCTGGTTTGAGCTGGGATTGTTGGTGCGTGTTGTCTGGGCTAACCTGTGCATTGTGGTGACCTGGCTTTCAAGGGCTCCACTGATGGATGTGGCGGTGGGCATGGGTACCGAATGTCACTGGGCCACGTGATGCTCATCATGCATCTTGGCGAATCCAGACTCAGTCACCTGCTTGTGGTTGTTAGGGTTTTCAAGAGCAGGAAGAGCGAGTGAGTCACAAAGACTAAGTGCTTCTATGTTCCCTCCTTGCATCACTTTTCCTGGTGTCTTCTTGGCCAAAGCAAGTTACATGGTCAAGCTCAGATTCAAAAGGGCACAACGTGGACTGCGTTTTTTGCTGGGAGGAGAGGCACAGCCATGTTGCAAAGGGGCATCCATGCCTCTGGCAATGAGAGAAGTCTGTGGGCTCTGGTGAGATGAGGGAGGAGGTGCAATGATGAGAAAAACAAACTAAGCACCTTCTGTTCTTATAAGTGTTCTCCTCCACACTGAGTAATTATCTTTCAGGGAAAAATGAAGGCTGTCTTCCAGGGAGGTGCAGATGCTGGCTACTTGGAGTAGAAGTGCACGGCAACAGGGAATGGAAAAGGGGTTTGAGGGGGACGGGTGGAGCACTCAGAGCACCTGTTGGTTATGAAACAAATCTTCTGAGTTCTCAGTAGATAAAAACATGAGACATTCATCTGTGGGGAGCCAAAGATATTTTTGTTGTTGCTGTTGAAGAAATTTTTCCTATTATGGCATTTTTAAAATGTGAGCAGTTGATCAACTGACAACAGGGGACATTTTGTTCACTTAGGACCAGTAGAGTCCTGGAAATGTCAAGCCCAAATCCCCCTTTGCCATTTTAAAACTCAGTATATATGAAAATAACTGAGAGATCTGGAAATCATACTTCCTCTGTAAGTACATAACCTAAGTCTTAAACCAGGAATCATTCCCCATAATCTCACATGAATAGCAACTCCCTGGTTATTCTGAACAGCCAATACTTATGGTTCGGATACCAATTTCTGAGTTTCTTTATATATTAATCCACTGTCTAACTTAACCATTAATCCATACCCTATTAATTAAGAGGATTGAGCACAGTCCTAAGTACATACTATGGAAATAAATAATCAAACTATTAATTTAGGGTGTGTGGGTGCTGAATGCTTTTAACATTTGTCTATAAAAATGAGGGAGGAAACTTCTACTAGTTCAAAATATCTAAGGGAACTACCCTCCTGTCCACATTTTTTATAATGTCAAACACTTAAACCCTCACAGTTTAACTCCATTTAAAGGCTGACAGCATCCTTATCTGGGGCTTCCCTGGTGGCTCAACTGGTAAAGAACCTGCCTGCTAATGCAGGAGATGCAAGAGACGGGGGTTTAATCCTGGGTTAGGAAGCTTCCCTAGGGAAAGAAACAGCACCCCACTCCATTATTCTTGCCTGGAAAATTACATGGACAGAGGAGCCCAGCGGGTTGCAAAAAGTTGGACACACAACTGAACATATGCAGACACAGCATCCTTATTCAGACTAGAAATGCAATTTCAGAAGAGATGAGCATGGTGGATGTTGGCATTTTCTGCAACATATTTAAATATGGTCTTGCCTTAGACTTTATAAGCTACCATTGAATAGCAAAGGGATGGTGCTGTGCCAGTTTTGCTCATAAAATATCACCATAGAATCTCAGTGGCATTCCCCAATAGGCATTTACTGTCAGACTCCCAGGTCTGTGGGTCTCCTTCAGGCTGCAGGTTTATGTGTGCATATCTGCTCCATGTGTCTTGTGCTGGGCTTCGGCCAGATGGGCAGCAGCTACCTGGGATTAGGTCTTTTGGACAGGAGCTCCTAGAAAGACAAATGGAAGCACTGAGGCCCTGATCTGGTGCCGTGCCGCTTCCACACTCCACTGGCAGGGCAAGACAGCACCACCAGGAGCAAAGCCAGGGGTGGGTAACAAATGCTGTCCACTGAGACGAAAGGGTGTGATGTTCAGAATTTCCAGAATAGTGAGAACTAGAGCCAGTCATTCCATCTATCAATGAGAGGTGGTTGTTTCTAAAAGTAGAAGGACATTTAATAGGAGTTGTTTTATGTGATTTATTGCTTAGAATTGCTTGGTTGTGCTTCAGACCTAAGTCTTAGAGAATTCAAAGATATGTTTAAATATGTTTACTTGAAATAGTAATCAAGAGTTTCCTTTCTTTTTCTTCCATCTCCAATTATGGCTTGAAAATTTAACTTTCTACCATGCCAACTTCTCCCTTTTCATCGTGCATTGACATCCTGGTTTCACTTCAGCCCGGAGGTTCTGAAGAGTGAGCCGTATGGGGAAAAGGCGGACGTGTGGGCAGCAGGCTGCATCCTTTATCAGATGGCGACCCTGGATCCTCCCTTCTACAGCACCAACATGCTCTCCCTGGCCACAAAAGTAAGCAACCTTGGCAGACAAAGGGGTCTCATGTTGCCAAAAACACCATTCCTTTTCTTCTTAAACAGAACCTTTGTGATTGTAGTAAAACTTCATCATTTATTGTGAATCTGAGGTTAACTTTTACTCAGCTTGAAGAATATAATTCTGTGCTCAAGAACTGTTTAATTAATGCTGCTTTTAAAATTGTTGGGATATTTTTGTTTCTGATGAAAATGTGTGCATGACATGCTTGTTACATAACTCTTGTGTTGTGGCCAAGTATCACCATGCAAAGGCACCTGTGGCTCCTTTATTTCCATTACTCCAGCCTGTTTGTTTTGCAGATAGTGGAGGCGGTATATGAACCAGTGCCAGAAGGCATCTACTCTGAAAAGGTGATCACTACCATCAGCAGGTAATTAGTCTTACCACTTCAAACCTATAGAGATTATCAAGAAATACCTTGTATCTGTGAAAGTGTACTGTTAAGAGGAAGGGTTCCCAAATAATGCAAATCTAGAAAAATGTTTGGACATCATTTGTCATAGAGACCATTTGGAAGCCACCAAGTGTCCAACAGGAAATAGTACATTCACTTGAAATAACATGTTACCATTAATCTGATTATTCAGAATGTTTCATATCAACCAGTATAGCAAGTGTGATCTGCTAAAGAGATATTTCTCCAAAGAATATATATATAGATGTCCAAGGGACACATGAAAATATGCTCAATACTGCTAATTATTAGAGAAATGCAAGTCAAAACTGCAATGAGATCACCTCACGCAAGGTGATGGCCTCACCTCAAGTCAGATGGCCATCATTAAAAAGGCTGCAAACAATAAATGCTGGAGGGAGTTTGAAGAAAAGAGAACCCTCCCCACGCTGTTGGTGGGAATGTAAAGTGGTAACAGCCACTATGAAGGACAGGGTGGATGTTCCTTAAAAAACTAAACATATAGCTACCACATGATCTGGAAATCCTATTCCTAGACTTATATCTGCAGAAAACCATAATTCAAAAGGATACATGCACCCCAGTGTTTTTTAAAGCACTATTTAAAATAGTCAAGACATAGAAGGAACCTAAATGTCCTTCAATAGATATATGGATAAAGAAGTTGTGGTATGTATATACAATGGAATATTACTCAACCAAAAATGAATCAAATGATGCCATTTGCAACAATATGGATGACCTAGAGTTTGAAAGTGAAAGTCACTCAGTCGTGTCTGACTCTATGTGACCCCATGGACTATACAGTCCATGGAATTCTCTAGGCCACAATACTGGAGTGGGTAGCCTTTTCCTTCTCCAGGGGATCTTCTCAGCCCAGGGATTGAACCCAGGTCTCCCTCAATGAAAGCAGATTCTTTACCAGCTGAGCTACCAGGGAAGCCCTTAGAGATTGTTATACTGAGTGAAATAAGTCAGATAAAGGCAAATATCATATGATACCACTTACGTGAGAAATCTTAAAAAATGGTATGCATAAACCTATTATATCAAACAGAAATTGAGTCACAGATATAGAAAACAAATGTATGGTTACCAAGGGGGAAAATGTAGAGAGATAATTAGAAGTTTTGGATTGACATATAGAGACTACTATAAATTAAATAGGTAGTTAATAAAGACCTACTGTATAGCACAATAGTAATTTTTCAAAGAAAGTCACAAAGAAGTGCTCCAGCTCTCCACATAGCAGGATTTTAATGGAAGTTATTATCCCTGGAGAGGTTCAAAGTTCTGCCCCCACAGGGCTTGTCCCAGGTGACCCTCCTCTCAACTTCCCCCCGCTCCCCTTGCTGCAGCCACAGGGGGCTCCTTGCTACTGCTCTTCCCTTATTCTGGTGCTCACTTCCCTCTTATGGGAGGCAGTAGCACAGGCCCTCATTTCCTCTGGGTCTCTGCATAATCAGGGTGCCTACACTGATGCCCCCACAACCTCTCTGAATTCTCCTGTGCCCTGACCCACTTTACAGAGTTCACAGCATACACAACCCCTAACACGTTATCCATGTGCATGCAGATGTGTTCCTTTTTTGTCTCTTTCTTCCTCACCAGAAGACAGAGACTTTTTCAGTTTAGTTCATAGCTGTCAAATGCCCAGAGCAATGCCTAGTACCAAACAGATCCTTAACAGTTTACTGGTTGTATGAATAAATGACATTTATCTGGCTGATTGTTACTTCTGGACCATTTAATGCCCTTAAATTGGCCCAAGATTCTGCCCCATTGAGCTGAGTCAAATCTTTACTGTTATAATAAAAATCCTAGGGTCACCCCAGATGGAATCTTTATTCATCTCTCTGCCCAATTCCCTGAAATCTCAATTCTATATCTACCCTCACTCTAGGCACCACCTCTGACAAAATGTAATAAACATATTATTGTGGCTGTGTGCTTTTCCCTCTGGTTTCTCTATCCAGCCACTGTTTAGCATTAATAGATTCTCCTCACGTGATTGTCAGATTATATCCTGAGTCTTTCCTTCCTCAACACAATGATACCCAATTGTACTAAGCACTGCAGGCCCAGCTGGTACTGAGTTTTCCTAACTGTGGACTCTGAGCAGACAATTTGACTACTTTTTTTGGCATCTCCGTTTCCTCGTCTGATAAAATGGGGATCATAATGGTAACAACGTCATCAGGCTAATGTGATGATTATAACATATGCAAATCTCTTAGCATAGAGCTTGGCAGATGGTAAATCTTGAGCAATGTTGGTAGCTATTATTGTTAGTGTTGTGGGAAATGAGCTGAAATCCTCTCTAAATCATCTGAATTCCACATCATATTAGAGATCCACCCTATTGCTAATGAGTCCAGACAAATGTATTTAAACTACTCACCTCCTATTCTCTGCTCTTTGTTTTCTGGAAAGTGCATTAAAAATTCAGGAAGTCTCCAGAGAGATCAAGATAAGAGTGCCACATTTGTTCATTTAATTTCTCATTTTCTCAGGTATTTATGTGCCCCAAAGAATAGGAGAGGGAAGTACAGAGAAAAACTACAGAGACTTTACTCTGATTCTGTGGTGTTGGGCAAACAGGACCATAATTTGCTTCTGACAGACTCCCTGGTTATTGGTATCCATGCCTGTGGAGCTGGAAGGTTAGGCTTAGGGTATCAACATTATTCTGAAAAGGTCAGAATATCAATAGGTTCTGGAATTGAGTGGGTTCTAGTCCTCACTCCTCCACTCACCTTTACCTTCCCAAGCCCTTCTCTCCTTATCTGTGCTGTATGGGGAGCAATTGTGACTACTCACGGGCTTACTCTGAAGCCTAAGTAAGATAATGCTTTTATGTTTTAAAATTTTTTTTAGTTTTTTGTTTTGTTTTTATTTATTTATTTTTATTAGTTGGAGGCTAATTACTTCACAATATTGTAGTGGTTTTTGTTATACATTGAAATGAATTAGCCATGGATTTACATGTATTCCCCATTCCGATCCCCCCTCCCACCTCCCCGTCCAC